TGTCCCCAGCAGGGTTTGCTGAACACTGAGGGTCTGAAGATAACGTTCAGGTCTAATTTGGATCTCAAAAGTTTTAAATGACTTACAGCTGGACCTCAAGGAGGCGTTTCCTCAGCTGAGGCTCCTTCCTCCAGGACTGTAGCTTGTGTTGAGTTGACACAAAACCAGCTAATACAAATGGAATATCTTGTATTTATTCTTTAACCTTTCAAACATATTAACAATGTATCTTTATCATAGCAACCTCCGCTCTCCTCTAGGTTCCTGCAGGCACCTCTAAGTCCCCCTTCTGCTTCATGGATTCTCTCTCACACACACGCCCCTCCTCCTTTCTCCTCCCTCTTAAAAACAAACAAACAAACAAACAAACAAACAAACAAGAAAAACCAAAAAACAACCAACCAACCAGCCAATCAAACAAACAAACAAACCAATAACATTAATCCAATCAGTGTTTCCCTTTGGAATGTTGGCTGGATCTTGCACAGGTAAGCATAGGTGCAGTGAGCGCTTCAGTGTAGTGGCCATGTCATGTCCAGAAGACAGCATTTCACTACGTCTACTCACATATCTCCGCTACTTTATCAACCATGTCCCATATAGGTATGAACACTCAACAGTCACTTATTCCTAGCACTTTGACCAGTTAGGAGCCTTCACATTAATTGCTGATCACTGAAGGCAGAAGCTTCTCTGATAAGTTACTCATGTAACTTATGTGTATACACATACATATTTAGAAGGCAGCTTGACAACATGCCCATTTAGAAAGACAGTAGTAGGTTCCCCTCTAGGGTCTTTGACCAGACTTACAGTACCAGGCATAAATTCTGTTCAGTGGAGCAGACCTCAAATTTAATTCAAAGGTGGTTGGTTGCTACCCCTAATATAACAGCCAGGCCACTATTGCTCCAGTGAGCACAGCTCATCTGGCAGGTTGGTATTGTGCCATGCAGAATTTACTAATGGGTATAGATGGAAGTTTCTCTCCCACTGGGGGCCGCAACCATTAGTCCCAAATAAACACACAGAGGCTTATATTAATTATAAACTGTTTGGCTGATGGCTTAGGTTTCTTATTGGCTAGCTCTCTCTTAATTATTAACCCATTTCTATTAATCTGTGTATCTCCACATGGTCTTTCTTGGCTTACCAGTGAGGCCCAGACTTCTTGCTCCCTCAGCAGCTACATGGCATCTCTCTGGTGACTCACTCTTTCTGTGTTCCTCTTCCCAGAATTCTCCTAGTCTAGTAGCTCTGCCTATACTTCCTCCTGGCTCCATCCTGCCTATCCATTGGCTGGAACAGCTTTATTCATCAATCACCATAAGGGAAACATATAGTCATGGCATACAGAAGGACATCCCCCATCAAATGGGTAAGACTACTAGTGTTTTCTCTCTCCCATTTACCTGTGTAACACCTTCTGGCACAATGAAAGCAGACACTGGGGACGAAATGTTCAACGTCAGTTCCAGCTTGATTTTTCATTGTCTTAAACAGTAGGCTGTGCCTTCAGCAACAGGGTCTAATCAATTGATTCTGGGGCAACCATGAGCAATAACAATAGCCTATGTTGTTTTGGGGGGCCCCTGGAAAAGTTTGAATTTCTGACCGCTATTCATTAAAAAAAATTATTAAGCAATTAAAATGTGTTGGGCATTATGCCACACACTGCACTAGTATTTGTATTTCTATTTTATAGTTTGGTTGAAACTTTGAAAATGTGTCTGTTGTTGAAAGTCTAAGAAAATATGAAGTGAGGGGGCTTGGTCCCTATACCTGTGTTCTTTCTAGGGTGACCATAGAGCTGCTGGGGGAATGTGGTGGACATAATCTGGAGGCTAGGAGCATGTGAAATGAAACTAGCATCTTTGAAGAGCTAATTTAACTTTATTAATTTAAATGTAACTAGCCATAGATGAGTACTAGCTGCCATAGTGGACTGCACAGAACATGCCACACCTGGTTCATAAATGATCTGACTTTGCATTCTCACTTGAGGCACATCCCAGCAAAGAGGGAAGATAGGGCAAAGCAGCTGGAGAAAAAAGTAATATTTTATCCAGGTAAAGGCACTTATACTGCATAATTTAAAGGGAGAGAGGCCTCAAAGTTAGATGTTCGGTTGGCAGAAGTTCAGAAAAAAGCCTTCGTTATCCATTTCACTCTGAGATTAGCAATATGTTGGCGATTTTGTCGTTGGAGGACAGTGTCTGGAAAAACAAAACACAGTGTGTACTGAACTGCACTGTTGGCACTGTTCTTTAGGCAGCCTTCCCCCGGGGGGGGTTGTTAGTTCCCTCAAATAGTATGAAGGAAAGGAGTATGTATATAGTGGAACTAGTTAAGCAGCCTTTTTTGATTTTTCATACTCCAAATAAGCTAAGAAAACAAATACAATGTAAAAAAAAAAAAAATGCCCTCAGGGGCTGGAGAGATGGCTCAGCCATTAAAGGTTTTTTGGGACAGTGAGGCAGGACCCAGAAAGGGTCATTAACAATGAGAAGCTCCATATCTATGGCCTCAGAGGTGTTTATTTTCCAAGGTTGAAGGATTCCAGACCTGTTGGGGGCTCGATGAGGTTAAAAAACCTGACGATGTTAGCCGGGTGTGGTGGTGCACAACTTTAACCTCAGCAAGTGGATCTCTGTGAGTTTGAGGCCAGTCTAGTCTACAAAGTGAGTTCCAAGACTGTTACACAGAGAAATCCTGTCTCAAACAAACAAACAAAAACAAAACAAAACCCCCCAAACAAAAAACAACAAAACAAAACAAAAACAAATCTGATGAAATTAAGGATGGTGAGGGACACTGGAATCAGGGTACATAATGTATGGATGCTGAAGTCACCAAGGATATTGACAAAGTGAAAATGAGCAAGTCAAACCTGAGCAAGAAGGAACCCTGCTTTGGAATGTGCTTTACCGTGCCATCTGGTGGCAGCCCTCCCCATTAAATAAGGAATTACATGGCACTAGAGCAATTTTGGCTTTCCAGGCTCTAGGATTCCATGCTCAACCAGTCAATCCCATTCTTAGTTCTTAGTCTCTTTGCACAAGCCCTCTCAGACATACTCAGAGGTGCGCCTCACCAATTTGCTCAGTGATTCTAAGTCCAGGCTAGTTGGCAAGATAAAATACCCACAGGAAACACTGTTCTTGGGCTGCTGACTGGGCCAGCATCCAGGCCCAGGCCTACTGCAGTGTCATTCTGAAACAGAATTTTAAGAAGTCAGGAAACTTAAATTTAAACCCAGATTTTTAGGTCATTATAAGGAAGTATATTTGTCAGTGTCTGGAGTTATATTTTTATTTAAGTTTGTTTGTTTCATAGCTTCTAAGTATGTAAACATAGCTTTCGCTTGCTATCTTGCTTGGAGAACCACAAACATTGGGAGCCTGAGGAATTAGCATGCTAGAAAGGTCATGTGAGCCTTGAGCTCCTTTCTCAATGCCTACCCCACCTCTGGGGTTTTATCATCTGTCTTTTCTGGCAAGAAAGAAGTGAGATGGAGGCCGTAAACTTGTTGTTCTATTTACCCAGGGATTCTAGTATCAGTGCAATGTGTGACACTTGGAAAGCACTTAGTCCACACATCCTAGTTGTGTGATGCTAGGTAAAGAGAGATGACAGAAAGGATAATCTCACAAAGGGATACCTGTCAAATTATAAAGGAAACTGAGCAACAATGCATGTTCTTCCAGTTAATTAAGAGTGATAAACAAAAAGGTTCTACTAGTGAAGACTGAGCCTTTATCTTTATGCTAAGTGATAGGTAAAATCCCCCCCCCCCTTTATTTTGTTTTATCTCCTTCAAATGAGTGGTCTGACCAGGATCAAAGGTGACAGGATGAGGACTTGAAATCCAGTGAAAAATGTGAATTAATTAAAGAAAAAAAAAGGGGGGGTGGGGGTACAATTAAGATAGTTAAAAAATAAAAGAGAAAACGAGTGCAGCTCTTTGTTTTCCATGAGAGAGCAGTACTGTCATCAGTAGACCATACTCCAACGAGGCAAAGGTGGTGTGAGACCTTCACATGGACTTGTAGTTATCAACTGACAAAACAACTCACAAAACAAATGCAGGTGACAGCTTGGTCACCAAAGCCTTTCAGTTCCTAAATCAGACCTCAAGTTCTTCAAGATTTCTTCTTTTGAAGAGTTTCTTAACTGAATTATTTATGGTATATTTCTACCAAACTGACCTGGCTCATTTTGATCATATGTAGTATAACTGCATACGAGCAGAAACGCAATATTCTCATATATAAAGAAATATACCTGCTGGAAAAAAAAAAGCTGTTATTGTTCCAAACTCTCTATGCTATTTCTTCCATGACTCTAAAGGGAGAAGGTAGGCTGGAGTCTGCAGCCCCAGGGCCTGATTACAGCCCGAAGGCTAGATTGTGTGGTGGGGGCACATGAAGGTTGGGCTGCCAAAGCGAAGGTTGCACAAGGATGCTTGGGAGAAATCAGGGCATGTTGGAACGCTATTATTTTCTTTTTTCAATGAGAACTTGGAAGGTACTGTTTTGATCTGACAGATTCTTGAGACCAACCAAGTCTCTGCTCTTATTGAGCTTCATAACGGTGCAGGAAGCAAGGTAACACAAGCATAAACACACACATCACACTCACATGTTTCTGTGGTGTGGAAACAAGCATGCTATTTATAACACCGAGGCAGAGCAAGAGAACAGAGTTTGAGGGTGGCTGCTATTTGAGGAGACCCCAAAGAAGCCAAAAGCGCAGAGCACGCGTGGCCGTTCTTTTTCTAATTTTCCAAGCTGTAGGGAGCAAGGTGCGCCCCCAGGAGCCCCGCCTCTCGCTCCCGATAGGTCGCAAGGTGCCATCTCCATAGAGGTCCCGCCCACCACCCCGCCTAGAGGTGGGGCTTCGAGCCCGCGCTCGGAAAGCGCCGCGCCGAAAGCGCGCGCACAGCCCTCCCGGCATGCTTCTCGTCCTCTCATGGCGTGGCTCAGACCAGCGCCTGGCATGCTGGGAACTGTAGTTTCTGCCCGCCGCCCCGCGTCAGGGGTGGTGGTAAAAGCTGCTAGGTCGGGCTCCATTTCTAGCACATGACTAGCGGCGGTGGGGAGGCCCTGCGGTGGGGTAAGGGCAGGGTCACCGCAACAGCCAGCAGGCCAGCGCCCCGGCCTCTCCCGGCGCGCGCCGCTCCTCAGCGCCGCCCCCGCGCCGAGGCCACCTCGCGCTCCGGGCGTCACGGAGCCCGCGCTCCTCCCCCTCCGTCCCCTCCCGCTCGACTCGCCGCCGCCGCCGCCGCAGGAGCAGCCGCCGCCGGAGCCGCGCGCAGCCATGGCCGAGAACCCCGGCTTGGAGAACCACCGCATCAAGAGCTTCAAGAACAAGGGCCGCGATGTGGAGGCGAGTGTGCTCCGCGTCTGGCCGGGCCGGGCGGCCGGGAGGGGAGGGGAGGGGAGGGGCGGGGGCCCGTGGCCGCTGGCTCTCGCCGGCTGGCGGTCAGTCCGGAGTTGGCCGCCGCCTCGGGGCGCCGCGGCCCGGGCTGCAGCCGCCTCCTGAGCGGCCAACGCGGGCACCGGGGACCGCTGGGCGCTCGGCCCCGCCGCGCGGGCGCGGCCTGCTGTCGGAGGGGAAGGGATGTGGAGCCGAGGCGGGGTCCGCGGGCCGCGCGGGAGGACGGACCGGGATGCTGCCGCCCCGCGTGCCGACCGCGCCGCTGGGGCCCGGCCGCCGCTCGCGTCCGCAGCCGGTGCAGCCTCCCGCGCTGCTGCACATGGAGCCTCGATCCCCGCGCCTACCTTGTGCGAGCCGGGCCCAGGCGGGCGGTGGCAGCCCTCAGAGGGGGGTGGGGACCAGCCGGGTAACTGACTTGTTTGAGGGTGGTGGATGGGGGAGGGTAGGATGCGCCAAGACCATTTTCTTATATTCCAGTGCTGTCCTTTGGACCAGTCTTCCCGAGCTGTTGCAGCTCATAACCCCTTGACTGCTGGCATTTGGAGCGAACTAAAGGTGGACAATAGTTTACCATCCATTGTGTTGAAGCTTTGGGAAGGAGATTATGCAGACCTCTGATCTTGGGTTCTGGTTTTTTTTTTTTTTTTTTTTTTTTTTTTTTAAAGCTCATCTTGGAGTGGGAGCGTGAATAGTAGGGAAATAATCTCTTTGACCTGTTTTGCCGAAATAAATTGCATACATAGATTCCTATGTCCTGTGTTTACCACATGCCACCAGGCTGGTAGATTTTCCAAGTGGTTGCAAAACTGTAAACATTCATTGTGGTCACTCAGTTCGCTGCTACTCAGCATGTTGCCATTGTCTCATTAAGGTGACATTAGCAGCTACTATTTGCAAACTCTGCTTATTGAGGTAGCGCTAGAGGTCTCTCTGCTCCCTCTAAAACCAATGAAGTGTAATAGCACAAACTTCACTGGGACTGACCTCTGAATTTGATGGGGGAAGTAGTTTTAAGTCCATACCCTCTTCTCTATTCTACTAGTAGGTAATGGTTTGTACAGTCCTGTAATTTTTGGTAAGAGGCTAGTAAATACAGGGTTTGGTTTAGTAGAGAAACAGATGGATCTGGGGCATTTCTCAGAGCTACAAAATTAAGTATGAATTGGGAAAAACCTGGGGGAATATCTGTGGAATTCCCATTTGACTGAGACTGCAGGTCCTTTATCTCAGTCCTGGTCACATTTAAGTTTTCTTTTTGAGAACTACTTCCAAACAAAAGTGAAACCTAGCACCTACAACAGCCACCAGTCTCTATTTATTTAATAAGACTTGGTTTTGATCTTTTTTTCACCAGTAATTTTTCTGTGTGTGTGTGTTACTTCAGTAATCTGTTGCTTTTTTTGTTTGTTGTTTTTGTTTGTTTCCTTTTTGAGACAGTACCTCATTGCAGAGCAGACTGGTCAAGCAAACAAAATAATCCTCCTGCCTCAGGCTCCCAAGTGCTGGGATTACAGGCATGGGCCACACACCCAGTCCCACAAGTAAATTTTCTTGAGGCTGTCTTCTATTACTATAAGAAAAACTTGCATAGTTTGTGTGGATGCTCCTATTGCTTGTATTCTTTGCTCTTTTGGATGTTGGTGTAAGTTTTTGTCACAATTCACTTCTAGTATGGTGTTCTGTTTGTTTAATGATACCTAGTGAGGACTTTGGCATGGAATAGATCCACAGCAGGTACTGCTCATCAGAAGGTAACCAGTGCCTTGTAGATGCCTGAAAAAGGCTATACTTGCTAAGCCATTCTTCCTGATTTTGTTAACAACATTACATTTCTAAGGACATGTTAGTGTAACTAAGACATGAAATAACAGGCGAATGCTAGTTCTTTGTGTCAGACACTGTGCTGTACCAAGAGTTTGCTACCTCATTTAATTCTTACCAGTTAGGTGTGTCATTGTCCTTACTTTACCAGAGAAAAAAAGTACTTTGACACAGAATGTCAGCATCCATGTAATGTGCTGGTCATGTCTGAGCATTCATTTGCTAAATGACTATTAGGTGTCTATAATGCTCGGCCTTACTCATATAGAAAGACCTAAGATTCAGTCTGCCTTGAGCTTACAGTCAGTGCGTGAGAAAAACCTACACTGGGTCAAGTTAGTTGACTTCCAGACAGCAGTGAGATCTGTTGATTCCCAGTAGATGAATGGGGATGAACTGATCCTGAAGAGTCAGAGAAGTTGAGCATATACTCAGTAATTCTGGCAAACGGGACTAGGAAGCAGCAAGAAGTTAGGAGGTCAAGATCATCATGGGCACCCTACCTAAAAAAATAAGCGAATGAATGAAGTCAAGGGCTGTAACTAGGGAAGGGCAGGAGAAGGTGGGAGGCATTTGGAATTTTAGAAGTACTAATTGAAAAGTCCCAATTTATGCAGTCAGCTGGTAAACAAGGAAAATAAGAAGGCCACTTTATGTGAAGGATTGTGAGTGAATAGACAGGGTTGTAAAGAGATCCCGCAGACATTCAGCAAGAGTGACTTCATAAGAGCTTTGGAGAGACAAAGTGAAGTGGTGGATCTTACAAGAAATACCACACTTGAGATGGGCAGATGAGAATTAGTGAATAAAGTCATAGGTGAAAAAGAGGTATGATTATATTGGGGGTGAACCTGAGAATTACGTATGGCTTGTTTGTCTGAGAATTCATAAGCCAGGCATGTCCCTTAGAAGGTTTTGCTTAGTAGGGAGATCTGAGAAATGTATTCAGCGCAAACAGAGCTGTGGCATCTCGATGAGAGCAGTGGAAAAGGTATCAACAGAAATATGCAGAGTTAGTCAATGCAATAGTGTACTTTTGTCTGTAGGAAGGCATTTTCCAAAAATTGAGACTGGATGTACGGTTATAACCTGAAATGAGGTCTTGATTCTCATCCTCTTTCTTTTTCTCCCTCTTAATCTTCCTCCTATTCCTCATCCTTTTTTGTGTCAAGTTCATAGTAGAGGACAAGTGAGCCTGAGTACACCTGGGGAGATAGGGCAGGGGCTCATCATTTTTAGTGACTTGAAGCTTGGGTAAGGGAGTTACATTTTTATAGCCAACCTAGAAAGACAATGAAGAGGAAGTGGGTTTGCATTTGGTTCTCAGTACAAAGTTGTTTTCCCTTTTCAAATATAGAAAGGTGTGTAAAACAAATACTCTGCTAGTGAATACTTTTAAAACAGAAGTTCAGGCAACTGGAACCCATGCTAATCTTGTCTTGTGTATGCACATCTTAAGGATATGAGTTTATTCATCTATTTTATTGTGCATGTGCCACAACATACTTGTGGAAGTCACAGGACAGCTTGAAGGAATTAGTTCTTTTCTTCCATGGGTAGGGATCAAACTTTGGTTGCCAGGCTTGGTGGCAAGCATCTTTATTCACTGAGCTGTTTGATGGCATAGATATGACACTTTTTTTTGTCAGTAATTAATAATAACAAGTTAAGAAACTTGTGGTTTGAATGAGTCTTATATGTTTGAATGGTTGGTCCCCAGTTGGTAGAATTGTTTAGGAAGGATTAGGAGTTATTGTCTGGTTGGGTGTGTTACTGGGGGTGGGCTTTGAGGTTTCAGAAGCCTACAGCAGACCTAGTTGCACTTTGTTCTTTTTGCCTGCAACTTGTGAATCAGGTATGAACTCTCAGCTACTCTTACAGTGCTGTGCCTGCCTGCCTGCCTCTGTACTCTGACCATCTGAATCTGTAAGCAAGCCCCCATTTAAAAGCTTCCTTTTATAAATTGCTTTGCTCATGATGTCTCTCCACACCAATAGAACAGTAACCAAGACAGAAATCTTAATACTTAATGAGTTTTTATGATGTTAAGTACTTCATGTGGATTATTTATTTGGTCATGGCCATCATATGAAGTAGGCAGTACTACAATTTCTATTTGATGTGGAGGAAACTTGAGGCCTACAATTCTTCAGTAGCTCTAAGGCATAGCATGGAAAGGAACTGAACCTGGCCTGTGTCAGCATTGTGACTAAATCAGAAAGGAGTTTTGCTCACTCTGCTCTCTCTCTTTGAAGGAAACTATAGCTTGGCATGAGTGAAGCATACTGGAAGGTTATTAAGCCAGGAAAGTAATGAAATGTTGACTATATCATAAAATTCCTATTTTAGTGTTTTCAAAGCTTGCTAATAAATCATACAATTTATCATTGAATTTGTTTTTGTGCCCCCCCCCCCAAATCTGTGAAGGTTTCATTCTTATTAGCAGGAAGTTTGTTTTACCAAGGAAATATAACCCAAATTCTTAGGCTAACAAACACTTAAACATTTATACTTTAGATTTCATTCCAAGGTTAAAACACATTTTTCATTTTCAAATTCAGTTAGCAATTCCAAGGTTATTTCTTTCTCTGTAGAGATTCTATTGGTAAGTAATTCTCTGACTTTGTACATGCAATTCTATTATATCTCACTGGCTATCTTTTGAGTTGGGCTTACTTTTGTAGGCTCTTCACTCAGATACCTTCATCTACCTCTAGAATCAATAATATTGAGCAGACCCTTCTGAAAGGGCACTGTAAGGTCTTTGTTGTGTGACCTGTGTTCTGTACTATTGTTTGCTATTTTCTAGTGCTTTCCTAAGTGGATTTCTTTTCACTTGTTTGGGATAGAGTGCCATGATGTTCAACGATCCAGTCTGTGTATATGGTTTTAAAGTGTGTTAGCTCTATTAAGATGCGTAGTGGGGATAGAGAACTTGTAATGCCGCTAGTCATTTAGTGATTGGTGGGTAAGGTTTCATATATACTGCTTGAGAAAAGGGACCAGGTAATATACTTTTTTAAAACTTTGTGTTTAGGGATGAAAGATACAGTATTGTAAGATCTTTTTTTTAAATAAGAGTTTTAGAAAAATTTCAAAAGATGATGTCTGTGCATGTGTGTGTGTAT